CCCCCCCCCCCCCCCCCCCCCGGTAACCGGCAGGTACACAACTCGGTGCCCCCCCGCTTGAAGGTGACGAGGATGTGGAGCTAGGGTTGAACGGCGTGCCGGAGGAAGGACAGCAGGAAGCGGAGGGAGGGGAGGAAGAGCGACCGTTCCGAGCCACCGAACAATCGAACCCGCTCTTCAACGCTGACCGGGCCTCGGGGCCACTAGAGAAGCCTACCCGCGGCGACAAGGCGGGGGGGGAGGGCCAGGGGAGGGTGGAGGTGGAGGTAGTCAGCCGCGCCATACCTCAGAGGTCAGAAGGGACTGCTGTTTTATGTGCCACACGGACACAAAACGTTGGTATTGTGGTCTTGCTTTTATGAATGCAGTTTTTGCCTCTCTTGTACATACGCGTGGCGCGTGGCGCGGTTCCTGCTGCTTGAATGTCGTGCCTCCCTCGTGTTTCTGCTTCGGCAGAGCGTGGCCAGCTTCGGCATGCGTTGTTTCGCTGAGGCAACGAACACCCTTAGAAAACGGGTTGGTTTTGGCTGACGCATAGATTACCCTTACGAACGGGGACCAGATCTGCTTTTGTGGCATGGCACACCTTGTCTTGACTGCAGCTTCTTGGCGACGGGGAGGACGGGGGTTGTGTCTACACAAAGGCGAACCAATGGAGCATTCCCTCCCGTACCCCGTGGACGTTTTTTTCTTCGTTTTCGTGGCAGTCTTCCATTGGTGCTGCTTGCTGTGTTGGACATGGCTCCACTTCATTTTTTTTTAACCCAAGACTACTTCGAACAGTTGTCATCGCCGTTGATCGTCCAAAGGTATCCAAGTACGCCTTGTTTCCAAGAGAGCCAATACGTAGCGGCTACCATTCGGTTTAAGAGAGATTCCGCGGGTTCAATAGAGTGTTTTGGGCCTTGTCCCGAGCATGAGCAGTACATGAATTACAGAGTACGGTTCAAGAGAAAGCCAGATTTAAGAAGGTGTACTTCGCCTGTCCCAACCCTCTCTTACACCTTGGCCGCAATTGCTGTAACGCAGTCCGGGTACGAGTAGCGTTTTTGCGTCCCACGCTCTTTTCCTCCCGTCCATCGGTGTCCTCCGTATCGTCTACCCCACGGTGGTATGAAGGTTTCGAGTTTTTCTTCCAAGGTGCGTGCATATTCGTTCTGCGACTCCCCCCCCCCCACCCCCCCCCCCCACTTCGTATTCTCGC